ATCCTGATTGCCTCTTATTGCTCAGATGTGGCCAAAGCCTCTGACTGCATTACTTTTGCTGATGGTCAAACATCTCACTTTCCCCCTTATGTGGGACATGACTTCCTAGGAATGAGCCTTCCTGGCAATGAGGAAAATATCAGTACCTATACATATTCACCAAATGATTGATCTGTGATTCTTTCTGCTGAAAGATCTTGATCAAAGGGGAAAGTGTGGACAGCAATAACAAATTGGAGTAACATATGTCTGGGCTTCTAAAATGGAGCTGGGAAGCCATTTAAGGAAGTGAGGCTATGCATGTACACCACATCTCTGCCTAGATGGAATGTGACTTTTTGAATTGTGCCTCACTGTTGTTATCTTGACCTTCCTTTAAGAAAAGAATAAATGCTTACTCCTGTAGAAAAATGCTTACTCCCACTGATAAGAACTTTTTGCCTTAGAGATGGCCTTAGCAGCCAATCACATGGAGCCAAGGATACAGTTCTTGCTAGCACCCATCACGTGTCTTACAATACAACCTGTGTGAGCTATGTCTCTTTGTCTGCATAAACCCTCGCCTTCTTTGTCTTCTCCAGAGCACATTTTGGGTTTCTGCCTAAATCTGTGTCTCTCAAATTGCAATTCTAATTGCTCAAATAAATATCTGTTGGTTAAAATAGTGATTTTTCCTTAGCCGACAAAAATCACTTTATGTTTTTTAGAGCTGTCTTAGATTCACAGCAAAATTCAAAGAAACTACAGAGATTTCCCACACCGCCCCTGCCCTCACACAGGTGTGGCCTCTCTCATTATCAACATCCCCCACCAGAGTGAGACATTGTTACAATTGATGAACCTACACTGATGCATCACAATGGCCCAACCTCCATAGTTTGCTTTAGGGTTCACTGCTACTGTTGCACATTCTATGGGTTTGGGCAAAGGTCTAATGATGTGTATCCACCATTATAGTACCATACGGGATATTTTCACTGCCCTAAAAATTCTCTATGCTCCACCTATTCATCCCACCCACCCCCAACCCCTGGCAACCTCTGATATTTTTACTATCTCCATAGTTTTGCCTTTTCCAGAATATCACATAGATGAAATGATACAGTATGTAGATTTTTCAAATTGTCAAATTGTCTTCGTTCATTTAGTAATATGCATTTAAGCTTCCTCTATGTCTTTTCTTGGCTTGACAGGTTATTTCTTTTTATCATTGAATAATACTCCATTGTGTGGATGTACCATAGTTATTTATCCATTCAGCTACTGAAGGACATCTTGGCTGCTTCCAGGTGTTGGCCATTATGAATAAAGGGGGAGGGGAAGAATTCTATAGTCTTATGGTTAGGGGCTCAGACGTTCAGTGAGCCTATACTTCTGGACTGTGAACTTCACATGCTTCTCAGTTTTTTTCCTTAGAATCAGCTAAAGTTGGGTACGTCCCTTCTCCTATGTGGGAGGATACAGCTGACTGGAGTTGGGTATTTCCCTTCCCTCTGGTTAGTTAGGCTCTGATAACACCTGGCAGGTTAGGCTCTGCTTAACTAGCTCCTGCTGAGGGCAGACCCTGTTAAGTAAAACAGAGTGCTCTGGTCTATTTCAAAACAGTTCCTTTCCCACCCCATGGGATAAGCATAAGGGGATTTTCTTTGATATTTACTGTGAGAACCTGGTCAATTTGACGGCTCCTGGAGGTAAATTTCACAAAATTGTAGGTTCCCTCCCCCCATGACTGGGTCCCCCTGGAATTTTTAGCTTTGAAAATTGTCCATCAATTTACCAGTTACAGTTTAGGTTATCCTACCCAAGCACTGGTTCCAGGCACTGGTTCTAGCTGAGTTTCTGCTTGTGATTCTCTGCTCCTCTGCTCTGGTAAGCCATTACTCCCTGTATTTGCCTGTCTGTCTCTCCATTCTTGGGAGGCAGGGTTTTGACCTTTGTCCTCATCTCTCTATGGGGTCCTAGATGAGTTGATGATTTTTCAACCTGTTCAGCTTTTTATTTGTTGTTATGACTCCCAAACTCCTTACCACGGAGCCCAGTATGATCAATTTTCTGTTGAAATAATCCAGTTAATTTGACAGCTCCAAATTTCCCCCTGGCTGAACAGAATGGATTTATGATGAAAGTTATGTTGCTGTTTCTATAGATGTTGTGGTGGTTGTGGTTTTGTTGTTGTTGGTGGTGTTGTTGAGTCTATATCATATACAAATTATATAGGAACATTAAATTTAACTTTTATTTTTTAACTTTTAGGATATGATCTCTTAGCAACGTTCAAATATTCAATACAGTATTATTTACTATAGTCACCATGCTGTATATCCCCATGACTTATTTATTTTATAATTGAAAGTTTGTACCTTTTGACCCGCTTCACCCATTTTGCCAACCATCCCCAATCCCTGCCCCTGGCAACCACCAATGAGTTCTATGTATCTATGAGTTCAGTTTTTTGCTTTTTGTATAATGTTTGATTCCACATATAAGTGATATCATACACTATTTGTCTTTCTCTGACTTATTTCACTTAGCATAACGCCCACAAGGTTCATCCACATTGTCGCGAATGGCAAGATTTCCTTCTTTTTTATGACTGAATTGTATGCCAGTGTATGTGTGTGTGTGTGTGTGTATCACATTTTCTTTATCCATTCATCTGTTGATGGACACAGGTTGTTTTCATATCTTGGCTAATGTAAACAATGCTGCAATGAACATGAGGGGGAAAATTTCTTTTCAGGTTAGTGTTTTTGTGCAGATAAATACCCCAAAGTGGAATTGCTAGATTATATGGTAGTTCTATTTTTAATTTTTTGAGGAACCTCCATACTGCTTTCCATTGTGGCTTCACCAACTTACATTCCCACCAACAGTGCACAAGAGTTCTGTTTTCTCTACATCCTTGCCAACACGTGTATTTCCTGTCTTTTTGATAACAGTCATCCTAACAGGCGTAAGGTGATTTCTCATTGTGGTTTTGATTTGCATTTTCCTAATGATTAGTGATATTGTGCACCTTTTCATGTACCTGTTGACCATCTGTATGTCTTCATTGAAAAAATGTCTTTAGATGCTCTGCCCATTTTTAAATACATCTTTTTTTTTTTGTTGTTGCTATTGAGTTGAATGAGTTCTTCATTTACTTTGGATATTAACCACTTATCAGATATATGATTTGCAAATATTTTCTCCCATTTTGTAGGTTCCCTTTTCATTTTGTCGATGGTTTCTTTTGCTGTGCAGAGCTTTTTAGTTTGATGTTGTCCCACTTGGTTATTTTTGCTTTTGTTGCCTTTGGTGTCAAATCCAAAAAAATCACCACCAACTCCAATGTCTAGAGCTTACTGCCTATGTTTTCTTCTAGGAGTTTTATGGTTTTAAGTCTATGGTCAAGTCTTTAATCCATTTTGAGTTAATTTTTGTGTATGGTGTAAGATAGTGGTTCAGTTTCATTTCATTCTTTTGCATTTTGTTTTCTTCTTCTTCTCCCCAAAGCCCCCCAGTGCATAGCTGTATATTCTAGTTGTTCTATGTGGGACAATGCCTCAGCATGGCTTGATGAGCCATGCCATGTTGGCACCCAGGACCCAAACTGACGAAACCCTGGGCCCCTCAAGCACTGTGTGAACTAGCCGCCTGCCCACAGGGACATCACCCTAGTTGTAACCCTTTTAATCCCATGAAAACTCACATAGGAATTTTCAACTAGGCTGTGAGTCCCTGACAAGCCCTGATAAATGATCTTTATTTTTATTTTTAAATCAAAGAGTATAGAAATCTAATGAGAGTAGAAATAAACATTAAAGTAAGAATTTATCAGTGTGCTGTAAAATAGTTTCTTCCAGGAAAGATTGTTTCAGAACTGACCTTTATTTTATAAAAGTTATGAAATAAGATTGTAAAATCAAGGGCCAAAAATTCAAAGGACTATTTGAAAATCAGCATTTTCCTCAGTGACTTTGCTCTAGATCATCCTGTGTTTAGTTCTGAAACCCCGAGAGAATAGCCAGCCGGAATCTAACCGATTTGAATACATGAAAGTAAACTTATTTTTGGTTTCACTAGACAATGAGGGATAAGCTAAAGGGAAAATGGTTTTGTATTTCACACCTGAAGACTTCAGTGTTAGATAGAATTCTAGGAGTAACCTTTAATTCCCTGCCTCATTCCTGAAAAAGCCTATGAGGAAATCGACTTCCCATGCTAAATAATTACAGAGGAATCTGGCTCAAATTTTTGAGCTCATAATTTTGGAATGCAAGCAGAATCCTGCTCTTCTAATTTGGTGGTGAGCTCCGCTCGCTTTCCCGGCTCCGTGCCTGACGCGCACCTGAGTCCTACCCACCCGTCCTTCCACTCCTGGGTTCCCCGGCTGCCCTGCCTGTCTGCCCTGTGGAGAGTGTGTTTCAGACACCCAGTTCCCCCGCCCCGAGCTCTTATTCCCTTGCGGCAGTGCCACCCTGGGAGATAAGAAGGAGGAAAGTGGAATAAGGGCATCCGGGAAGTTCGGTGTCCCCGAACACAGAGGCCACCAAGTGGAATGGGAAGAGACGTGCCGCGAGGCAGGTGTGTCCTAGGAAATGCTGAGGCTCTTGTGGACTGAGGACTGGGGTGTGGAGGGGTGGCTTGGGTCACTTAAGGCACCGCCGGGGCTAGTTTCTGGTTTATTTGACAGAACTACCAAGCTGGGGTCCTTGCTTAACTCCCGACCCTCCTGTTGCCGCAGCTGCGCTTGCCGCGCTGGGAGCGTCCACATAGCCCGCTGCAGATGACGCGTGCGCACTCAGACCCTGAGATCCTGGAGACAGCGAGAAGCTTCTTTCTCCGCACTCTACCTGCTGAGGGCGGCAAGTAGGACCTTGGACCTTCCAGGCAGGCTTGGAGCAGAAAGCTCCGGCGGAGGGGTCCTAAAACCCTGTTGAGCAGGGGGTGAGAGGGTGGAGGTTCTGCTTAGGAATTTGATGTTGTGAGCATACTTATTCTCAGCGAGTGCAGGTACGATGCCAGCAGGTCATCATCGTTCCGGTGTGTGCGTGCCATCCCACAAGAGACTCGGAGGCACGCTTGGGGCGCGATTGAGAGTGAACCCGGTTGGATGTCCCTACGCGCAGTGTCGTTTTGCTGGTGCCTGTGCTTTGGAGAGTGGGCGCATGTTTAGCACAGCAATGAGTTTGTGAGTGTGTAGGAGTATAGCTGGAAGTGAGCGTGAGCGTTAGTCTCCGCAGGGACTCTTCAGCAGCGTCAAGCCTGCCCTGGTGTCTAGTGGAGGACTCAAGTGTGCGGGATGCGGTGCGGGGCTGAAATCATGCCACTGGGACATCTTGGCAAACAGCAGCTGGAAGCTGGGGCAGCTGGGCTCAGACAGGCGGATGAGGGAAAAGTTTCAGATGGCAGGGTGGAAGGGGGAGTGCCAGGGGCTACTCGGAGGCTTGGGAATTATCTGTGCCTTATACCTACCCGCGGAGGCCAGGCAGGACGTATGACCCCTCCTACCCACGTGTAGGACCACCCAGCGCGAGTCCAGGCAGCCACAGAAGGTGGGGGTTCGGAAAGCATGGAATGTGATCTTCCAAAATCCCTTACGAGGACCAGGAAGCTCTTCTAGATCCCTGCCTAGCTGGGAGCCAGACATATGCCTACTAATCACAACATTCCTTCAAGACGGGTCCCCATTTCAAAGATGAGTACATTCAAGCGCTGAGAAGTTACGTGCTCATGATCCTACCGCCTGGAACTGGTGCAGCTGGAAATGGGTTCAGGTCTGACAAAGTTCTTGTCCTCACCTCCATCTCTTGCTTCCCAAGAGTCCGGCTCCTCTGTGGGTGATTCCACCTGCCTAAATCAGACACCCTTCCGCGGCCCAGAATCAACCCCATTGCGCATTAACCCTCCAAATCTCACAGGCACGGGGGTTTAGGATCAGACTGTGGGAGGTAGGAATCCCTACAGCCCTGGATGCTGCCAGCGGACCTGAACCGGTGAAATTTACAGTGATGACAAGCTGCCCTCAAATTCCTGCTCACTTTATGGGTGTTTTCCCTTGGTCACCACCCCTCCCCCTTTCATCAATGACCTCAATGCAAATACAAGTGGGATGGTCCTGTTGGTTGCTCCAGGTTCTGGACGCAAGTGGTGACGCAATCAGTGGGGGCACAGCATCCTTCCCCTCATTGGCTGCCTCGAATTCCTGGACCAGCCTAGACCCAGAGCAGCGGGAATAAGAGCAGCCGCTGGTGCTGGGAGGCATGGGAGCCTGCTCGGCTCCGAAGTCACTGACGCTTCCATAGTGCCGTCCCCTGACGTCGACGCTGCTGCCGCTGCCACCATCTCCGCTCCAACCTACCTATTACCTGCTGCCAGGTGAGCCTCGAGATTCCCGCTTAGCTGTATGGCTCTATTTCTCTCTCCCTCTGTCTTCATTAGTCTTTCTCGTGGCTGATCTTCTTGCCTGTCTCAGAGTCTTTGTCCACTTTTGTCTGGATCTCTTCTTCACAGAATCGCTATTAGTCCTCGATTCATTTCAGGCTCCTGCCCCAGGTAACACTGGACAGTCTCAGTTCGGGGACTCCCTGCTTTACTCTTCTTGCGCTGAGGTGGGCTTCACTCTCAGTCTCTTGCTGCACGTGCTTAGGCCAATCTCGGGATGCTTTAGCTCCCCAGGCACGGCGCGCAGAGCAGGAGGCAGGAGGAGCTTTCTGCAAACTGTGTGCTCACGCATCGCACCCGGTTCCTAATGGTCCCCGGGAAATCAGTTAGCAACCTGGACCAGCGGATGTGGGTGGCAACCAGGCACAATGACTGAAGGACAGGCAGCCATTAAACGCAAGCCCCTTGTGAGTTCTGGGAGCTTATTTCCCCAGTTTAAGTCCTGGCTCCCAATTTAATGCTCTTCTAAGCTTGGTTTTTACAGGGAACTCTAAGAACGTGCCCTGCTGCTAAGAGTAGAATTTGGTCTTCAGTTTCTCGGAGATTCCAACCTCAGAGATATTCCCTCTCTATCTGTTCCCCTAACACACACCCCTCCAGGTGTGAGTAAAAACCCCACACAGGGAGGACAGCTCTGGGTTGCATTATGGGTGCAGCTGTGGTGACAGGGTGCTCTAAGACTGTCCTTGATGGCCAACAGGTGTAGCGAGACTGTGTGGGGTGGTAGGGAGGGGGCTATGGACTGTGACCTCACCCAGGGGTCCTGCTAGGATTGTTCCTCCAGCTTTCCTATACCATTCATGCTGTGGGCTCACTGGATCTGCCAGCAGTTCACTTCGCTGGTGAGGAAACAAGTGTCAAGGGATGTGACATGACCAGCTTGAAGCCATGAAGCCAGGGAGTTAGAGGCAGAGGCAGGACCAGAGCCCAGGTCTGTGGGCTCACAGAACTTCCGACTACTGTAGGTGGTGATGTCATTCCTCCCTTGTAGAGAGGGGTCATAGGGCTCTGGAAATTCTCCCCTTTCCTGCCTCTCAGCATCTTGGTCCTGTACCAGGCGCGCATCCTCCAGGTAGTGCCATTCAGGTAAGACAGCCCTGCCAGAGCACACTTTCCTCCCACTTCCCTAGGGATCAAACAATTTCATGCTCCGAATGTTTAACAACCAGCTCTCGGAGGAAAATGTATGTATATAAACCTGCATAGAAGTTTATTATAAACTTTTTAAGATATAAAGATGCGTAATACGTAACTTACAAATAGAGATAACATATACAATATTCTTTACTGTAAATTTCATATGCTTCATTGAGCCTCACAGAATGCCTTTATTGCTATTTGCCAAATATTTGTATCTGTAGCAAATCTATTTATCTAAATCAACCATAATTTGAGAAATATATCCTAATATGCCTACTTTGCCAATAAATTTATTATTAAAGCTGACATGTGATCTATTAAGCTGATTTCTCACCCTGATACAATTTCTACTTTTTAAACTTAAACTTTTTAAGATTCAAACTAATTGTAAGTTTTATCATTAATTTTTAATAATGGCGATATTTAACACTAAGCTCATAAAATTCCTGAAAATCTAACCATCAGTTTTCACAAGCCTGTATGATCCAGTTTTAGCAAACCACTTCTTCAAGGCCACCCCAGAGCCGGGCTCCTGGTGAAGGAGCATTTTGGAAGGACACTGGCCTCATGCCCTGTGCACTGGGAGTTGGGTGGCCACCTCCTCAGGAGAAGGTGCAGAAACCAGGAAGCCTGGCTGCTTCTCCCGGGGAGGGGCCAGGTGGGGGCTCTGAGCCTGTACTGGGTTTGCCTCCCCTCCCCAGGTCTGCCTTGGAGAGCCTCCCAGATCCTGCTGTACTCCCTGAGGAGGAATCGCGACTCCTACTGGCTGCGCTGGTGAAGGACTATGTGCAGATGAAGGTCAGGGCGCTGGAGCAGGAGCAGGAGACAGGGGGTGCCAGGTGAGGCTCCCCACCCCACCCAGCACAGGGCACCCCCTCCCTCCTGTCAGGCCCAAGAAGGAGGAGAGAACCCAGCCGGACAGGAGGCCAGCAGGCTGTCAGTTCACCCCGACCTGGGGCCCCGCTGTTCTCAGGCTCCACTGAAGACAGGTCAGGTGGAGAGACTGTGGCTAGACCACATGTAAAAAGATCCATTTCTGAAAGCGGTTGGGGACGGTGTGGAATCCCTCTCTCTGGACACTGGTCTGGCATTACTGAGGAGACTTCCCAGCCCTGCAGGAGTTAGGACTGGTAAGTGTGACCCCAGCAGATGGACCCCACATATCTCAGGAGATTCTGGAAATTTGGCTCCACCTTGTTAACCTGCATACAATATTCTCTCTCACCTGCAAGGTGCCTTCATTGCACATTTGCAAGGTGAAGCCAAAGGCCTTGCAGAGGGTGGGCTCAGGTAGAGCAGTGTTGGAGGTAGGTTTGGGGTCTTTGGATGTGTAGGATCCATGTAGATGTGCATATCATCAAGGACCAGACACCCTTCCCGGCCCCACCTCTCCGTGCACCCTGAGCTTGGAGACACATCCGTCCCTGGTCTGGCCCCAGCACTGCCCCGACAGAGGTGCATGTTGCACCTGCATCCCCCCTGAGACCCTCACTGCAGAGCATGAAGGACTGAGCAGCATGTGGAATGCTAGACAAGGTCCCAGCTTCTCCACCACAGCCCTTCCCCACTGAGCCTGCTCTGGCTCAGTGAACCTCTGAGTTCTCCTAATGGACGAGGTGTGAGCTGCCCTGCCTGCCCCTCGTGCCTGGCTCCAAGTGACTCCTACTCTAACGTTCTGTGTGACAGCCACAGGAGCAGACCCAGTGCATGGTACCACCTGGCATGTGTTTTCCCTGCAGCCTGGACAGCCCCAGAGCTAAGCGGTGCAGTAATCTGAGTACCTGTGTGCTGGGCACATACCCGCAGGACCTCAACAAGTCTCATGTTTCCATAAACTACAATTGGGGTTGGAATGTGGGGCAAGAAAAGGGTCATGGTCAGAGGCTTGGAGGGAGACCATGGCCCTCCCATTGGCACGTCCCATGATGCCTACTAAGCCCCTCCCTCTCCTTTCTAATTCTCTTTCTTGCTTCCTTCCTATAACTTGATGTGTATGGATCTCTCTGCTTGTTCTTCGGGCTGGTATGAGTGGCTTTCTTTGTGGCAGTCGATGTCTGGAAGCTCAGATGGGAGGAGAGAGAGCAGGACCTACAGACCAGAAGAGAATCACCCAGGAAGAGATCAGAGAGAGAGAGGGCAGCCCTGTGAGTCCCTGAGAATTTCATAGCAGAGCTTCTCACTCCAGCTTGTGAATGTGCTTGTCATTGGAGAATTAAGGTATATTTCTAAAAAGACCGAATTGTGGTGGTTATTCTGTGGCCCAGATCCCAGCTTCATGGATTCAGGGACACCTGTCTTAGAAGTAGCCTTAGCTCCAGGTAGCTGGACTCAGGGCATGCTGGGTGGTCCCTGTGACCAACCTCAAGAAGCAAGAACAGGAGCCCTGAGGAGTAGGTAAGCACCTCCATGATGTGATGCTGCCAACTCTCCTCCTCTTCCAGTTAAGGCAGGGGAATTTTCCTTTTCCTAAGAAGGACTACTTGGTACCTGAGAATGGGATGTAGCTTCTAGACAGTCCTTAAGAATGGGCTTGGGTGCTGCCCCGTAATTCTCTCCAGTCTCGTAAACCTGTTTGATTTATTTATACAGGAGAGATTGACTGTTACAGCTCTGTGTCCCATGGACAGTTACCTAGAGCCACCACTGGGTTTTCTGACACGTCTGGGAATGTCTATGGAGAGTGATCATGGCATTTTCCCTAATGGCCTATGATTTTCTGCTATGATAACTGTGTTTAGGAGAAAATTCTTAAGATTCATTGGTGCCTCTCAGAGCAGTAATTTGACCATGAAGGTCCCATGGGGCAGGATTCTGCCCCCAGCCTCTTACTGACAGGCTTCTTTTTCTCCTTCCTGCAAATCAGAGTCCCTGCCCAGAAGGGATCCTGCAACACTGCCACCTGTGTGACCCAATGGCTGGCAGGCTTGCTGAGCAGTTCTGGGGGTGGGGTGAAGAGCAACTTCGTGCCCACCGATGTGGGCTCCAAAGCCTTTGGCCGTCACTGCAGGGATCTTCAGGCCTGAGCAGCAAAATGACTCCAGGAAGAAGGTGACTGTCTTTGTACTGTTGGATGGGAGGATGGATGGCTGGGTACTGCCGGAGTGCTGTCCACACTCTAACCCTCCCTGGGCCCAAAGGATAACAAATCCACAGGGGAAGGTGCCCACTCTGGTGTCTGGAGAAAGAACAGAGAGTCCCAATAACTGAAACCCCTAGAATTTGGTTTCATTTCTCTCTGTTTACCAGTGTCCCCCTGTGACACTGAGATCATCTGCCAGGAAATATAGATTTTATTTATTTAAAACACTGTTCCTTGCAGTTATAATTGTGATTATTCTAGCATTCAGTTTGAAAGGCAATGACACTATCCTTTTGAAGTATACACTACAATGTCACATACATCTGAATTCAGAGCATACACGTGGGTCCAAGTACTGTGTTTGCCCTCTACTAGCTATATGACCGTGGAACAGGCACTCTCTCTGAGTCTCAGTTTCCCCATCTGGAAATTGAAGGCAAAAATAGTATCTACCTGCTAGCATTAATATAAACAGTAAATGAGATAATACATGACAAGAGGCTCACAATTAATAAGTAACTAAATTCTACCTGGTGTTTTTTCTTCCTAGATCACCATGAAGCCGAATTCTACTTCTTTTAATTTATCATGAAAGCAACTTGTAGGAAAGGGAGCATGAAAGACACCCCTAATGCATGCTCCTTAATACTAAAGTAACTCTTTGTGGTTTGAAGTAAACTAAGGCTAAATGCAGAATAAAAGCATTGCACTTACCTAGTATGTATCTTTTTTATGTTGGATTTCTATTCAATAAATATGACAGCATGTCTCATGGCTTATCTGATAGCCAATCTGGGCCCCATCAGCCAACATGTGTATGTTGGCAGGCCAACTAAACCTTAGGAGGACATGAAATCACTCTCTTGTGGATAACTGGGGACACACGGTAATGCTGTGCATTGATGGAACTCTTTGCTTGAAGAATATTACCATTTTTGAACTTCATCAAGATTAAAAATGTATTTTCGATGCACTGAAAAGGAGCCCCTGCTGCTCTTTACGCTGTTTTTTCCCGGGAGAGCTTCAGGGACCTGTGAACACTTTGTTGACCAGGCTGACTCAGATGAGGCAAAGGCAGCATGCTTGGTCTGTTCAAGGTCCTGCAATAAGTTTAACAGAGGCATGCACACATTTAACAAATACTGAGTGTCTGCTATATGCTTGACACTATTTGAGGCACTGAGAGTACAGCAATGAGCAGAACAGACAAAACTCCCTGCATTCATAGAGATGATATGCTAAGTGGAAGAGACTGAGGACACATGCTGTGGAGTCAGAGATGCTCAGTATTGGAAGGAATCTGGGATGTCACAGTTCTGATGCCTCATTTGAGGTAGGAATTTCCCAGCATCAACTTCCCTATATTCTGCTGGGGCTGTCAGTGACAAGCTGCTGACTGTAAATCCCAGGGTGACTGGCAGCCAGTTGCACTGGTGGATGGTCAGTTAAGTGGGGTTATTTAATTAGAAAAGTCATCTCCTTCTACTTACTGACTCGTTATTTCCTCAGGAGCACATAGAATTATGACCCTTGCTCCCATAGAGTCTGTACTCAACCTGTGCTGTAAAAGGTAGATCAGACCACATCTCCCTTATGTGCAAAATACTCCATTGAGTCCTCATCTCACGGAATACACACCTGGGGCACTGTGATGGATTACAAGTTCATCTTCCCTTCCTCTTCTCTCACCACCATCCCCCTTACCTGCTGGACTCATGTCCTACTACTTTCTCATGCACTGGCATTCTTACTATCTCTCAACCTGCCTCCCCAGCATCAGCTCCCCGAAGTGTTTGCACTTGCTGGTATCTCTGTGCAGAACGCTCTATCCCCATAGCGCCATCTCCTCCAGAAGTTTACTCAAATGTCACCTACCCTAGCCATTCTTTCTGAAATTATACCCCATCCCACCCATGCCCCCTAACCCTCTTCTTTATTTTTTAGTTCTTATCACTTATTACTTTCTACTGTAGTATAAATTTTGTTTATTTATTTTGTTTATCTTTTGCAACCCTACCCCATCAAGAATGTAAGCTCCACATGGACAGGGATATGCATGTATTGTTAATTGCTCTATGCCCAACATGCCAAACAGTGAACAGAGTGCTTGGTACAAGGCAGCACTCAGTAAATATTAATTGAATGAATGAGTGAATGAATGGCGTTAAGTCTTCTTCCCTTTTATGTTTGGCCGTCTCTTAGGTTCCCTCTGGGCCTGATTTTCTTCTGGCTAAATTGCCCAAAGGTCTTCATCTTCAGTGATTACATCACCTGGATAGTGAGTCCCTCAAGTGCCTGGAGACTTCTGCAATGGCCACTTGTTATCAGTGACTCTGTTTCTTGCCTCAAGGCCTCCACAAGGACTATGTCTTCAGTTTGAACACAATTCTCAGTCTATCTTCCTCCTCCCCTGGATTAATCTGGCCAGCTTTCCTTCTTCCCATAAGGCAATCAAAGCACAACATGGAGTGACAAAGACTTTGGTGTGGCTGCAGCATCAGTATTTACTACTCATAATCCATGCAGGCCATTGCAGGAAAAGAATGTCTTCTAGTGCAAATTAAGGCTCAACTTGAACACTCAGAGCCAAAGACTCAGAGTTGTGTCTGATTAAATTATTGCTCCCAATTCTTCGTTATGCCATGGTAGGGTTATATACTCTCACCCTTCCATGGTGTCATGGTGGGTGAAACTGATTTCTCTGCCCATTGACTTTGAGCTTGGCTAAGTGACTTGTTTTGGCTGATGGGATATTGGTAGAAATGCTGCAAGAAGAGTCTTGAAATGCATTTATGTGGTTGAGTTTTGTACTCATGTGCTTCTGCCACCACTCTGGAAAGAATATGCCTTAGGTATCCATCGATTTATTAGCCTTGACTCCAAAATGAGGCTTGCGGACCTAATCCTGACCTGCAGCCTAGATCCACACATAGACACCAGCTGAGATCATACCTAACTCTACGACAGACCCATGAGCAAGAAAAATAAATATTTGTTGTTGTAAACCATGACATTTTGAGGTTGTTTTATGTAGCATTTTGTAGCAATAGCAGAGTAGTATATATGACTTGAGAGTGTTATGGACTGAATTGTTGGATCCTCCCTATATTAATATATTGACACTTTAACACCCAATATGACACTATTTGGAGATAGAGCCTTTAGGGAGATAATTAAAGTTAAATGAGGTCATAAATGTGGGGTTCTAATCTGATAGGACGGGTATCCTTATAAGAAGAGACAGAGACATTAGAGATCTCTCTCTCTGAGCACACATGGAGAAGAGGACAGGTGAGGACACAGCAAGAAGGTAGCCAACTGCCAAAACCAGGAGAAAAGCCCACACCAGATGGCATCCCTGACTGCACCTTGATCTTGGACTTCCAGCATCCAGAACTGTGAGAAAATAAATTTCTGCTTTTTAAGACATCCAGGCTGTGGAATTCTGTTATGGTTACCCAAGCAGACTAATAAGGAGCATTAGCAAATGGAATTATTTTAGCTACCACAGCTTGTTTTTTCTTCTTATTGAGATTTTGAGCTCTAGGTCAATTTGCTGAATGGCCAATTTGTCAAATTCACTTGTTTTTTTTCCTATTTCATTTTGGTTACCATTTTCATTTTGTCTTCTTAAAATCATCTTAATGGATATTCATTTTGAGTCTATTCCAGTCTCCCACTACTGAAACTGGATAATATATACCTTAATAAACCAACTGTGGTTTATTTATGTAATTGATATGTATAATACAGAGCACTGAATATAAATATATGTATCAACTCTGCATAAATCTTACATATAATGTTGAGTGCAAAATAAAGCAAGTTGTAAAGGGTACATACTAGATGATATCAATTGTTTTGAGTTTGAAACATGCATAACAAGACTACATAAAATTTAGGATTACATATGTATGTAGACAAGTATACAGTCATACGTAGGGATGATAAGCATCAGATTCAAAGAAGTGATTAATGTTGAGGAGAAGGGAAGGAGATATCATGAAGAGGGGTATACAGTGGGCTTCTCCCAAGGTTTTATTTTCTAAGATTTTATGTTCTAAGCTGGGTAATAGTATATATTAATGTTTGTTATACTCATGTTTAATAGGAATAAATGCACATAAGTACATTTTTTTTTTTAAGTTATGGCAACCTCCATAGAATTTTAAAAGAATGCATAACTTTGTGTGTGTGTGTGAGGAAGGTTGGCCCTGAGCTAATATCTATTGCTAATCTTCCTCTTTTTGCTTGAGGAATATTGTCCCTGGTCTAACGTCTGTGTCAATCTTCCTCTGTCTTTTGTATGTGGGATGCTGCCATAGCGTGGCTTAATGAGTGATGTGTAGGTCTGCGCCCGGGATATGAACCCGCAAACCCAGACCACCAAAGTGGAGCGCACGAACTTAACCACTACCCCACTGGGCCTGCCCCAAGAATGCATAACTTTTAATGTAGCATAAAAGAACGTGTTTTAGTCACTGGAAAGGAGAAAAAAGACCACAAAAATGTATAGTAAATGCATCATGCAGTAAAAAATGACATAATAAATGCTTATATAGCTTTAAAATCACTGTAAATTAGTTAAAGTCACCAACTAAAGACAAAGACAATCATGTTGCATTTTTTTAAAGACTCCAGCAGTCTTTTCCATCTGAGAAACATTAGGAGCATACAATTCAGAATGAATTAAAATAAAAGGGTAGTACAAGTTATACAAAGCAAATACCAATAAAAATAAGTTGAAGTAACTTCTTAATATATAGTCAAAATAGAATTCAAGGCAAAAAAAATACCTTATGGGAAAAGAAAAGTGTTGATATACTAGAAAAATGAATAATTGAGCAAGGGGATACATTTATCATGAACAGATGTACACCCAACAATATGGCCCCAATTTATGTAAAACAACTGACAGAACTACAAGGAGAAATACATATATCAAGAATTGTTTTTAGAGAGTTAATACACCCTTTTCAATAAGCCATGGGCTTCTGGTATCACCTTGCTAGTGCGTGGTTCAAGTTGGCTCTGCAAATACCCCCTGACAATACGATGAATTTCTGAAACCATACAATGGTTACACCCACAAAGGGGTGATAGATTTTATTACTGATCATATTATGTCTACTTGTTCCAATACCACTTATTAAGTAAACCGAGATGTCCCAAAATGATTTGAAACACTGTCCATATCATATGCTGATCATCTTATGGCTTTTCTTTTCTCTTCTCTTGCTTTGTTTATGCACCAGTAACACAGTTTAATAACTAGTAGGGCAAAGGCACCTCATACTTAATTTTTTCAAAATGTTCTTGACAATCGTCACACATTATTCCAGAAGGAAGTTAGGATAATTGTCAACTTTTTAACAACCCTATTGGATTTTGACTTGCATTGGGCTTTCCAGGTAGATAACTGTATTATCTGTAAATAATAGTAAATCTTATTTCATATTTTTTTCTTATTGTAACAAGTAGATCTTCTATATTCAAGAATATATATTAGAAGAATAATCTTTCTTATTGTATACTGAGATTTTTAAAAATTATAAATGGATATTGTTTTATCAAAATATCCTTTGTTATCTAACAAGATTATCTTATGGCTTTTCTCCTTTAACATTTTAATATGAGTAATACATTTCAAAAAGTGGAAACTAATACTAACAGAAAATAGTTTTAAGTGCTTACCACATGCTAGGCGTGTTAG